AAAAAGTCCGAAATTCAAAACAAATCAAAAGAAACAAAAATTCTTTATGGGTTATGGGAATCCTTGACCATTCAGAATAACCTGTTATGTAAATTTTTTGAAAGAGAAAATCAGGGGCTTGTTTATCAATTTGTAGCTCCGGAACAGATACGAAATTTCATTTTTCAACAGTTACATTGTACAAAATATTCAGCTCATTTTGGAAGAGACAAAACTTTAGATCTCATAAAGAAAAGATTTTATTGGCCAAATATGTCAGATTCTATAAAGTTATGGATTAATAGTTGTGATATTTGTGCTAAAGGGAAACCTGGACCAGGGAAAGGGAAATCACCTTTGAAATCCAGTGTTTCTACATATCCTTTGGACAGAATAGCAATTGACATCATAGGTCCTTTGCCCATTACTACGGGTGGAAATGAATACATTATGGTAGTGGAAGATTATTTCACTAAATGGACAGAATCTTATGCAATACCAAATCACCAAGCTCTTACAGTAGCTGACAAACTTGTTACAGAATTCATTTGCAGATTTGGTTGTCCATTCCAAATTCATACAGATCAAGGCCGAGAATTTGAATCTGGCCTATTTGCCGCCATTTGTGACAAATTAGGAATTGACAAAACTCGAACATGTCCATACAGACCCCAGTCTGACGGAATGGTTGAACGTTTCAATCAAACTTTACAGTCAATTCTACGTTTATTTGTTAATGAACATAGAAATGATTGGGACGATCACATTCCATTTATTAACATGGCATACAGAGCCACTCAACATGCAAGCACAAAATGTTCTCCAAATCTCTTGATGTTTGGACATGAATTAAGATGTCCAATTGATGTTATGTTTGGCTTACCTCAAGGATATAAAAGTATACCTTGTCCAATTGCATATGTTGAGTGGGTTCAAGGAGCTCTTAGAAATGCATTTCAGTTAGCACATACACAATCTGGTTTAAGTGCAAATAGACAAAAAGAAAATTATGATAAAAACTTGAAAATAAGAAGTTTTGAGGAAAACTCATTTGTTTGGAGATGGTATCCTCCAGAAGCAAATAAGAAACTTGGATTAGGCTGGACCGGTCCATACAAAGTTACTAAGAAAATCACTGATTTGACATACAGATTACAAAAAGACACAAGTACTAAACAATTAGTCGTACATGTAGATCATTTGAAGCCATACCAAGCTGCACATACTCCAACTATACAAGAGCATATCGTTACACCACACGAAAATGTACAAACGTTAACTCCACCAGTGACAACTCGCTTTGGTCGTGTTATTAAACCAAGACAAATATTTACTCTATAATTTTGTTTTATTGTTTCGCTCATTTACTTTTAGTACTTGTCTACATTACTGTTTGTGATGTTGTGAAAGGGCCCACACGGCATCATAAATGGTATTGTTAGAAGGTATGCATATGTACATAATTTTTGTGTTTGTATATAATATATACAGGAATAATGAATATTGTTTTTCTTTACTGTAGATTTTTGCAGATTGAATTCAGTGAATTACTGTGAAAAGATTTATTGAAAATAGGCAAATTTATATGTTTATTAATTATGTATTTTCAGAATGGAGTTGCAATTACATGTATGTGATAATGAGTATAAAAGTTTTCAAAATGATCACTTGAGAGATTTATGGCCAGCTGTGGGAGCATTTTGTAACATAGAAGAATGTGGAAAAAACCAATTCTTCCGCTCATTTAACGAGTACAAGTCACACTTTGGAGGTGTACATAAAGAAAAGTTGACCTTATATACCTGCCAGATATGTGATTTGTCTAGAAGGAAATTACAGGTACTGAAGAAACATCTCGTTAAGGACCATAAATGCTCTGAAGATAAATATAGATGTATAGAGGTTGCCAATAAAAATTTCATTGACCCGAAGGATGTTTTGCCTTATCGAGTGGGAGACGTAAAGGAACGGGAAGAAGCAAAACAATTGAGGGAGAAAGTTGAGGAAAGGAAGCGAAAAGCCAAGGAAGAGGCTCAAGAAACCCGTAAACAATATGTTGAGAAGGGAAAAAAAACAAAATTAGAGGACAAATACTATAATTCAAGGGACGAACATTTGAAGTTTAATTTCGTGAAGAATACACTGACAAGGACAATAATAAAAGCGAAGAAACATTGACATTAGGTGACCAATATTTGTTTATATTCCATATTTTGATACATATTTTTTTTAATATTTTGATACATATTTTGAATTTTCGTATACATATTTATTGAACATTTTTGAGATATTTTTTTTTTATATACAGGTTACATTACGTTTACATATTTCTTCATTATTTTTTTTTAGATAAAATGATGACATTTGATCTTTAAGTGGGGAGGAATGTGGCAATATTGGAATTAAGAGTAATTTATTAGCTCCCTTTTAAGTTTAAGCATATTTACATTTTATATAATTACTATTGTTTACATGAAAACTTTCACCTGTGTTTATGTACACAATAACTGTACTCCTTTTCTAAACCGGTTATTAATAGTTAAAGGTAAGATTGTGTTGGTTAAATTGCAAATCTTATTTTAAGAAAGTACCATTTGTTAAGTCATTTTGTTATTAATTATATACTGAATTCACATTTAATACATTGTCCAGAATTCATACTTTCCTCGAAGGTAATTATCAGTTGTCATTACAGCCATGCTGTTTACTATTACTGTTCTGGACCACTTCGTCTATTAAATGTGTTGGCACTAATTAGGGTTTAAACGTTAGGACTTGGGACTAAAATGGTTCAAATGGTACAATTTAAAAGCCCTACTTAAAGTAATACATTTTCCCCCTTTATTTAACTTCTGTATTGTTGTACAACTTACTGTCATAATATAAGAATATTTATTGTGTATTTTGGTATGAAATAAATATGATAATTTAGGTATTATTTCTTTAAGACTTCCCTTCCTAGAATGCTGGCTTATACTTGTCATAATCATTTCCCGGTCAAGTATTAGCTTTGTCCTCCCAGAGAATTGTCCGTTATGTCGGTTGTTGTAGACACTTGTCCCCTAGTGTGACAAGGTGTCCAGGGCAGAACTGGTCTTCATTGTTTATGTAAAGAACCTGGGTTTATTTGGTTATTTCGTGACTGCGCTAGCATTAAGTAAGAAGGTATCCAGAAAACGTTACTTTTACTTGAATGTCAGATCAGTCCGTTCACAATATATATATATATATATATGTTCTTTGAAAATTTCTTAATACATTGTTGGTCATCTAAAATGTGAGTCATTAATATTTACATGTACTTGGGATCTTTTAAATGGTCAAAACTGTTCTATTTGCTTAAAAGTAATCTGAAGCAATTTCTAGACACGCTTCGATCTTTAGGGTAAAAGCCTTGTGACATAAGGGTGTATCTCCTACTGGAGCCCCAGTTTATGAATGCATGCACATATCTTACCTTGGGGAGGAGGTTGATCTTACATTAGAGTCAGTCAGGGTAATTCCGTACACTTTTGGTCCTAAATGAAAGTCATTTGGTTCCCTGTTTAATAAACAAGCAAAATGTACAGTAATTACCTGGTCTGGGAACACAGTTATCATCCTTTGATTTTCATTGTCCACGAATATAGTCCCTAACTAGTGTGGCCAGGGTGTTACTTGCCATTTTTTTTTTATCCCCCTTCCAAATTTATTTCTTCATGTTTTTTTGTCTCAAATAGCAAGTAGGGGGATAAAATTACACTGTTAAAAAATTTGAATTATGAATTTTAAAGTAAAATAGTGATTTGTTCCAGCTGAAAAAGGTTAAAAATTAGCATTAATTTTGGAAGCTGTCAAGATTTCAAGACCCCCTTAACATAAAATTGTCCATATTTTGAGTTAGAGCCGATGAAGTTTTCTATAATTTTTATATAAGTTGTCCCAAAAGTTAAGTAGTACAACACACTGTAAAAATATTATTGAGAAAGCTCAGGTTGGATTTTTTTTATTTCCACTTATTGTCTAAAAGAAATGCACTACAAAATAACTGTGTTCTCGGATCAACTGCGTGTACGAAATTACCTGGATCGACTATAATCTTTATAGACTAATCTGTTAAGCTAATTCTTTTTTTTTTCATTAATAAAAAAATTCTACAGATGATTAAGTATACAACTTATATCTATTTCAAACAAACTAAGAATATTTAAAATTAAAAAAATTCACAGAATCTAAATAACAAAATTTTTTAACTGTGCATTATTTGTTAAAGGGACAGTATAGACTCAGTTCATCATTATGATAGGAGCACATGTCCTGTGCATGCTGTGTATATAGTATAATAGATTTATTATGTCTTGTCTGTATCTTAAGTTTGGTTAAACTGCCTACTGGGAAAATATTTATTACATGTTTACATTCCCAATTACTACTATTAGTCAATTATGTGTGAAAAATTTCAATTTCATGGGTTTTAATCCCCCAGGATGTGAAACATCATTAGAATTTGTAGATATAAATGAAGAGATATGAAAATGTTATCCTCAGTACTGTGTCAGTCACTTAATTTAAGACAATAAAAACATTAAATTAGGATAATAAATTTTCCCCCAAAAAATGAACATTGAGAAGTTCTGACTCTGATACACATTTTAATGATCAATTAAATCATCTTTTAATAATTAGATGTGAGGACATGATGGATAATTTTTAAACTCTTTCCCTCCTTAGAAAAAGCACCTGGTTCCCTTCAGAGCACAACATTCCAGGGGGAGGGTGCAGAGCCTCTATATATTTACAGCTCTCCCGGATACTGATTTGTGAACATGTAAAAATAAGGCAGCTAATGCACTCATGTAACCTCAACAACGAAAGCGACAAATGAATAATTTTATTTACTTTTTGCAATTTCTCATTGATGTGATGTAAATTTTCTGTTAGAAAGTCACACGATTCTGTATCTTAACTAGTATGACAGTTACACAAGACTGTTTTATCTTATTTTTGCAGATTTTTTTTCTAGGTGTATATATATATACAACTGTGCAAGTATTGAACATCAGCTTCAAATGCAATGTGATCTAAAAGACAGCATAATAATGGACAGATGTAAGTAATGATCAAATAGTTAAAGATATGGGAATGTATGAAATTGTTTGAAAATGTCCACATATTAAACACTCCTTGAAAGTAGATAATTATCATTTTTACTGTTCTGCTAAATGAGGGTTTGGTTGAGGGGTCCTTATTGTCTTTATTTTTTAAATATTAGACCATTTTTCTCTCTATTCATTATTTATTTTGCCCATTTATATTATCTCTATCATGTCTATTTACTGTATTTTTAAATTGTGCCCTATTATTCAATATTCTGTATTATTTTTGCAATTGATTTTCTATTCTTTATTTGTTTGCCCCTTTATTCTGCACATGTTTGTCCAATATTCTCTATTCTTTGAACCCTATCCATTCTTTCTCTCCATTACAGAGTTCTTGAAATCTTTTTTCTCCTGGTGGTCCTTGAGGGAAATGCTGAAATTGTTCTTTGAAAATTTTGGTGGTCAATAACTTTTAGACTTATATGTGATACAGAAACAAAACAACACAACACAATACAAATATAAACATTAACAAAAGACTTCTGTAAACATGAATAATTTAAATTATGATCTTTCAATAGTATTTTAAACAAAGTGTATAACTCTGTATGTCCCCGCAACTAAAAGTTGGCAGTCATATTGTTTTACCCCTGTCCCTCCGTCTGTCAGTCAGCTATAGGTCACAGTACAACCTTCAACAATGAGCAAAACTCATACTGCATAGTCATATATAAAAGGCCCCGAAATTACAAATGTAAAATAATTCAATACTAAAGGCCTTATAAAAATACAAAAAAATTAACGAAAAGCAAATGTGTAACACAGCAACAAACGACAACCACTGATTGTCCAGGTTCTAACTTGGGACAGGCACAGAATGTGGCAGGGTTAAACATGTTAGCGGGGTTCCAAGCCCTCATAAATTCATATATTTTAGAAATTCTCCTAAAAAAAATTGGATTTATCAGAAATGTTATCAACATCAACACTTTTAAATGTTGTACGTAACTTTATTTGATTTATGCTTATAAATGATGTAGTATGATTACCAATGAGACAACTCTCCACAAGAGACTAAATGACACAGAAATTAGCAACTATAGGTCACCGTACGGCCTTCAACAATGAGCAAAGCCCATACCACATAGCTATAAAAAGCCCCGAAATGACAAATGCAATTGAAAACAAGAAAAATAACGGCCTAATTTATGTACATGTACAAAAAATGAACGACAAACAAATATGTAACACATCAACAAACGACAACCACTGAATTACAGGCTCCTGACTTGGAACAGGCACATACATTACATTGTACATTAATATTTTAGTTCCCACATTGCTATAAAATCTATCATATGTCTTTTCTCATGGCAGCTCTAATATAAATAAAAAAAATTATTTGGAGTGCATTATCTTCTTTATTTCTAAACACCTGTTGTACATCTTTTTTTAGCTCACCTGGCCCAAAGGGCCGTCGTCGACCATTAACTTTTACAAAAATCTTCTCCTCTGAAACTACTGGGCCAAATTTAACCAAACTTGGCCACAATCATCATTGGGGTATCTAGTTTAAAAAATGTGTCCGTCGACCCGGCCAACCAACCAAGATGGCCGCCATGGCTAAAAATAGAACCTAGGGGTAAAATGTAGATTTTGGCTGATATCTCTAATACCAAAGCATTTAGAGCAAATCTGACATGGGGGTAAAATTGTTTATCAGGTCAAGATCTATCTGCTCTGAAATTTTCAGACAAATCAGACAACCCGGCCCGTTGTTGGGTTGCTGTCCCCGAATTGGTAATTTTAAGGAAATTTTGCAGTTTTTGGTTACTATCTTGATTATTATTATAGATAGAGATAAACTGTTACATATAATAAACAGCAATAATGTTCAGTAAAGTAAGATCTACAAATAAGTCAACATAACCAAAATGTGTATTTGATGAATAATTTTCATTACGACTCATTAACAGGGCAAGATATGGAAATTTATTTTTCTCTTCTGTGGTTGTGGAATATTAAGAAAGAACAAAATCAAAATGATATTTTGATAAATATGTTGTTGTCGTGGTATTGTGCTCTCTTAAACCATCAGATTATTACTGTACGTACTGCAATAAAAAAAAACATGAATCAATATCAGGGAACTTGAAGTAATTGAAAACTAGTTCAAAACCCTAATTGCAATTTAGCTATTCTTTGCCTCAACCAAGTGTTATGAAACTTATACACAAAACAAGGAATTATATGAATCTTGAATAATATTGAATTCTGGAAAATTGATAAGAAATGTATGATGAAAACATACCCAACTAAATAGGGTTAGCCATGCGTGCATGGCTAAGGATAATTTTACTTTCACTGTTCTTTCAGTATGAACTAACTAACCCCCCTTAGCCATGCGCGCATGGCTAACCCTATTTAGTTGGGTTAGTTTTCATCATAAATTTCGTTTCAATTTTCCAGAATTCAAAATTATTCCAGATTCAAATAATTCCTTGTTCTAATGCTTATTAACACCAAACACTGATCAAGTCACTTTCATCATTCTCATATTATGTTACTTTATTAATAGAAAAAAGGATAAATTAGAGATATATTTACAAGCAGAGACATCCGTGTCCCATGGACACATTCTTGTTTTATTTATTACATATTTTAGTGTATTAAAGTAATTATACTGCTTCCACCTTTCAAAATTCTAACAAAGCTCTATCTCTTTAATGGATAAATAAATGATACTAGTCGAGAACTCAACAGGTAATTTTTTTTCAGGTTCTCTGGTCGTTAGTACTTGTTTGCCACACACATGAAGATATTGATCCTGCTTTCAGCTAAATATCAGAAAAATTCAGAACAAAGGAAAGGATGCTGAAACTGTACAGTCACCGGTCAGGATTGTTTCAGAAGTGACATTATAATACAATATATGTTACTGGCTAATTCCTATGATTTGTAATTTTAAACAAAACACATAGACTTTGCATTATTGTTTTACAAGAGAGACACCAAAAGATGCAGTCAACATTTATCATTTTTATCAAAATACACCCAGGACAAATCATGGGTACACTTAGCTTGAAATATGGTGCTTTCATACCAAAATTGCCTGGACATAAAAGAAATAAAGAACCAAAATTCATGTCAGCAATCATGCAGGGGATAAGATGAAAGAATAAAGAATAAGGTACTGTCATATTCAGTCTTAATAAGAGTCCTGCTGCTTTATATGTATATGCATTTTGTTATGCCCCGTCGTAGCGGAGGAGGGCATTAAGTTTTATCCTTGTATGTTTGTACATAGTTATAAGAAGATGTGGTATGAGTCCCAATGAGACAACTCTCCATCCAAGTCACAGTTTGTAAAAGAAAAACCATTATAGGTCAAAGTACGGTCTTTAACACAGAGCCTTGGATCACACCGAACAGTAAGCTATTATTAATTTAAGGACCCCAAAAATGATTAGTGTGAAACCAGCTGTCAAACGGGAAAGCCAATGGTCTAATCTATATAAAAAAAAAAGAGAAACGAGAAACACTTATAGTGCGTGATTTTCTCGCTGTGTTGAAGACCTTATTCTTTGAAAAAGCGACGGAGGTATCATGTATTCATTTTAGTTCACTATAAACTTAAGTTTGCTTAACCAAATGTTCTGAAACTTATACACAATGCTTATAACCACATAACTCAGATCAAGTACTCATTTGGGTACTGTATGTCACTTTTACCATTCTTGATTTATGACCCTTTAAAATGTTATATGCAAGTGGGGGCATAATCTGTGTTCCATGGACGCATTCCCCATTTATTTATTCACAGAATTTTGAAAGGAATAAATAATCCATGATGTTCACATAGATAAAACATTGTTTCAAGAATGTTTACCTGTTTATTACAGATAAAACGCAACTCAACAACACAAAAAATAACTAAACAGCATAGATCTATGCAGTTTTGACCTATATTTATATAAAAATAAGGAGAAGGTGCATGATTGCCAATGAGACAACTATCCACCAAAGTTTGAATAAAGTTGATATAAGCAGTTATAGGTAACTGTACAGCCTTCTACAATGAGAAAAACTCATACTGTATAGTCCGCTATAAAAGGCCCTGATCAGAAAAAATATGAACAAAATCATTTGAGAAAACTAACGGCCTAATTTATATAATTTATTATAACAAAACAAGTAGCGAAAATCAAATATATAACATACATGAACCAACAATTTCCATGGAAATACTGGCTCCTGACTTGGGACAGGCACATAAAGAATGTGGCAGGTTAAACAAGTTTTTGGTTGCTCAACCCTCCCCTAACCTTGGACAGTTGTGTTACAGCACAACATAAGAACAAACTATAAAAATCAGTTGAAAAGGTTTCATCATATTTTTATAGGTCAACTGTCTTGAAATGATCAACAAGTGATTGTAGAATTTAATAAACATCTCAATTGTCAATTGAATAACCAAAAACACACAAACATCTACTGTCAACACCAAATTCCCTGAAACAAAAGCTTTAAGGGGGCTCGCGGGTATATCTCAATATTTGTTTTTAAATATAGGATTTCGCTATTTTTTTCTAGAAATAAAGTTTATCCTATACTTAATAGAAAAATAAAATAAAAGTATAGGGTCACCGTTCATTTGAGCTCACAATCTGCCTTCGAAAGAAGCATGCATTTTTGTTAAGTTACTTTTTTTCTGTTGAACTAATAGGAGAAAAAAAGGGAATGTCGAAATAAAAAAAGAACTAAATTACAGAAATCGCTTAAATTTTAGAATAGTTTAGTTTAGTACAGCTTATTTGAGTACAGCTTATTTGAAAAAAATAATAAAAATACAGGTCACCGAAGAGTTAAAAAAGATATTTAATTTTAATGCAAAAAAATGGCATTTTTTCATTAAAGGGAGATAATTTGGAGCTTTTTAAATGATATAAACAATTCAAAAGTCATCTGGGGCCAAAATGAATTGATTTTTTTGGTTGATTTTTGTACCATATCATAAAGTAACAACTTATAGTGTAAGAAATAAAAATGTGTAATGAAAAAAGAAAGTTTAAATTTGTGCTGAATTTTTATACCCTCAAGCCTCCTTAAGATACAACTTTGGGTGACAGGAACGGTCTTGACTTTGGAAAGCCACATGAAAACTCAATATTGCTCCCCTTTTAAATCTTGATCATTATTTGTTAAATGAAAAAAAGTAACATAAAAGAATGCAGGTTGCCAGGAACATTCAATTGGAGAAAGGGAAAAGAACTCAACTCTACACTAAATAATTTTGAAAACTATTATTGGCTATACTATCTTTATTGATATAAAATGTCAGAAAAGTTATGTACATTATGATCATGTTGATTGTGTGAAAAGTCACACAAGGTAATCAAAATGGTCAGAGGGGGAAAAGAAGTTTTGTTATAAATGTCAAATGTGATAGTCTCAACCTATCAACATGATCAAAATTGTTGATTTCACCATTAATATTTACATTTAGCATGTTCAGCGGAATAGCACTTTTTTGTTATATTTTACTTAATGTTATTTTACTTTTCTCTTATAGGCAGGAGTGAAAGGAAGAGAAACAGTCATCAGTAAAGAAACAGATCAATTTACATTAACATGTAATAATTCCGTCTGAATATAACAAGCATTGCACATGTTATGAAGATTTATTCACATGTTACTATGATTTGTAGTTATATTTTATTGTATGTATTTGTAATATTATATAGAACATGTATTTTATTATACCCCACGCAACGAGTTGCGGAGGGTATAATGTTTTTGACCCTTCCGTCCGTCCGTCTGTCCGTCTGTCAGTCCGTCAGTCCGTCAGTCCGTCAGTCCTGTTTCTTGTCATCGCAACTCCTCTCAAACCACACAACAGAATTTCACGAAACCTTTTTAGATAATAAGGACATACTATGTAGTTGTGCATATCGACAGAAAAATTGCGATTCAAATTTTTTTCTAGGAGTTACGCCCCTTTGAACTTATTTACTTTAATGTACTACTGCAACAGTTTGTCATCGCAACTCCTCTGATACCACACAACAGAATTTCATGAAACCTTTTTAGATAATAAGGACATACTATGTAGATGTGCATATCGACAGGAAATTACGGTTTAATTTTTTTTCTAGGAGTTACGCCCCTTTGAACTTATTTGCTTCAATGTACTATGCAACAGTTTGTCATCACAACTCCTCTGATACCACACAACAGAATTTCATGAAACCTTTTTAGATAATAAGGACATACTATGTAGATGTGCATATCGACAGGAAATTACGGTTCAATTTTTTTTCTAGGAATTACACCCCTTTGAACTTATTTGCTTCAATGTACTACTGCAACAGTTTGTCATCACAACTCCTCTGAAACCACACAACAGAATTTCATGAAACTTTGTAGATAATAAGGACATACTATGTAGATGTGCATATTGACAGGAAATTATGATTCAATTTTTTTTTCTTACACATATTTTATTTCTCCAATGACAATGTGAGGACGTGGGGGTATGTGAGCGCGCTCACTAAGGTTCTTTAATTTTAGAACAGTATTTTTCTTTTTCAACGAGCCTGCGACTTTTGTCGCAGAAAGCTCGACATAGGGATTGTGATCCGGCGGCGGCAGTGGCGGCGTTAGCTAACTTCTTAAAAGCTTTATATTTTAGAAGGTGGAAGACCTGGATGCTTCATACTTTGTATATAGATGCCTCATGTTACGATGTTTCCGTGTGTCACATTTCCATTGACCTTGACCTCATTTTCATGGTTCAGTGACTACTTGAAAAAAAAGTTAAGATTGTTTGTAATGTTAATTTCTCTCTTATTAAGAGTAATAGGTTAAATATATTTGGTATGTGCGTACCTTGCAAGGTCCTCATGCCTGTCAGACAGTTTTCACTTGACCTCGACCTCATTTCTTGGATCAGTGAACAAGGTTAAGGTTTGGTGGTCAAGTCCATATCACAGATACTATAAGCAATAGGTCTTGTATATTTGGTGTACAGTAGGACTGTAAGGTGTACATGTCCAACTGGAAGGTGTCATCAAGGCCTTGACTTCATTTTCATGGTTCAGTGGTTAGTTAAGTTTTTGTGTTTTGGTCTGTTTTTCTTATTCTGTTTGCAATAAGTCTACTATATTTGGTGTATGGAATGATTGTAAGGTGTACATGTCTAGCTGGCAGATGTCATCTGACCTTGACTTCATTTTCATGGTTTAGGGGTCAAAGTTAAGTTTTTGAGTTGTGGTCTTTTTTTCTTATACTATATGCAATAAAGGTCAGCTATATTTGGTGTATGGAAATATTTTATGATGTACATGTCAGTCTCGCAAGTTTTTTTTTTACCTTGACCTCATTTTCACAGTTCATTGCTCAGTGTTAAGTTTTTGTGTTTTGGTCTGTTTTTCTTAAACTATAAGCAATAGGTCAACTATATTTGTTGTATGGAAGAATTGTAAGCTGTACATGTCTGCCTGGCATGGTTCATCTGACCTTGACCTCATTTTCATGGTTCATTGGTCAATGTCTAGTTTTCTTGGTTAAGTCTATTTCTTAGAAACTATAAGCAATAGGTCAACTATATTTAGTGTATTGAATGATTGTAAGGTGTACATGTATTTCTTGTTTGGTTTATATGACCTTGACCTCATTTTCTTGGATCATGTTAAGTTTATGTGATAGTGGTAGTAAAGCTTTATATTTAGGACTATCAACATAACATCAATAATTAGTTAAGAAGGCGAGACATTTCAGCGTGTGCACTCTTCTGATATTTTGTTGTGGAGAACAAAGAAATTTAGAAAAATATAATTAAAGATAAAGTTTCTTCCATGTTTTCTGTGACAAAAACAAAATTGTGCAAATTAGGATAATGAAATGAGGCTACATTATTGAATATTTTTGAGTTTGAGTTTTTTCTTTTTATTCCTATTTTAAAATTTCATTGGCATTTGAAGTAATGAGTTGAAACTAGTTTTTATCAATCATTTTGTTTTCAAGATGTACAAACAGTACAGTAGGTTAAGGTTTTGTGTACAATAGTTTACTATGATGTTATGGTCAAATAAACTTGAAAATTTGTACTTTCAAGTGTTCATTATGAAGTCATTGATTTTTTAAGTAATTACAAATAAGTTACTGAATATGGAAATCTGATTGTGGAAGCAGGGTATAATGTGTTATGGACACGCATCTCAATCCCATAAAGCACCGCCCTCCTCACCATCCTCTCAGTAATGGAATATTGACTTTGAAAATTTCCTTAGTTTACACTGTAAGATTTGTGATAAGTTCAGTTTAAGGAGAACCACTAAAAGTAGGTCAGGGATATTTTATATGCAGTTGAATAAGCTTTTGGACAATACATGTGCTTGGGGATTTTTTTATCCTGAACCCTAATTCATCGTTTTATAACTTAGAATCTTTTGCAGTTTATATGGAAAGTTTATGCTTAGGCCAGTTTAAAATCGACCACTTATAAGAGGAGGATTTAGAGGAGGCCTAGGCCCCCCTTTTTGTGGGACAAATGTGGTTGATATTATATTTAGGGAATTACTAAAGCATGACAAAAGAGATGCAGTAGAGAGCAACCTTAATATTTCTTAGAAAATACTTTTTTCGGACCTGTAATGAAAAGTATGGTTATAAACAAAATACATATTTTTTTCAGTTAGAAACATATTTTTTATGAATCAAAATTTTAATAAATGTTGGAAACAAATTTACATAAAAACTTTCTAAATGTATCAAAATTCTGTGTTGTAATATCTTATAGATTTTGTTTTTTCGGGATTTTTCCCAATATGTTTAAGAAATCTGTAGCATAATTTAAAAAAATTTTCTTGCAGATTTTATTTCGGGATTTTTCCCGAAATGGGTAAAAAAAATCTATGTAACAAGTGTGTGCCTGATAATAGATTTATATTTTCGGGATTTTTCCCGAAATATGAAAAGAAATTATTAGTCATGAGTTCTAGCATATACGTTCTGTTTTCGGGATAAATCCCAAAATATTCGAAGACATTTGTGTTATACATTTTCTACTTAGTTTATTTTTGTCGGGATTTTTCCCGAAATGTGTTTCAGATCTGTTTGTCAACATTCTTTGTCAACATATATGTTATAAATAATAATGTTGAAAATGATTTTGGGACATTTCCCGAATTAAAAGTTGTCACATACATCTTTACCACAAATATTTTAAAACTTTCATATATTTTGGGAAATTTCCCGAACATTAATTGTAAATTTTATCAATTATAAGAATAAAAACATGGAATATTCTAAAATATGTGTGTTTCTTTATGAAATCTGCATTCAATTTATGGTAAACATTGAAAAAGATTATAAAAAGGAATAAAATGAATTTTACTCTTTTAAAATAGATTCAGTTCTTGGTAATATATTGATCTAACTGAATAACAGGTTGTTATGTAGTTTGGTGTATTGCTGTCAAATTTAAGGATTAAATTAATCTTGGTCAAAAAAGCTAGAATTTGCAGTTCGGACTATATTCAGATAGTACACTTTAATTCTGTTTATAACTTTTTCAAATCAACTTGGATTTTCATCAAACTATACAGCTACCTAAGTAATATATTGATCTTACTGAATCCCAGGTCATTATGTAGTTTGGTGTATTGCTGTCAAATTTAAGGATTAAATTAATCTTGGTCAAAAAAGCTAGAATTTGCAGTTCGGACTATATTCAGATAGTACACTTTAATCCTTTTTATAACTTTTTTCAAATCAACTTGGATTTTCATCAAACTATACAGCTATCTTAGTAATATATTGATCTTACTGAATCACAGGTCGTTATGTAGTTTAGTGTATTGCTGTCAAATTTTAGGATTAAATTAATCTAGGTCAAAAAAGCTGGGATTTGCAGTTCAGACAAAATTCAGAGAGTCATTGATAGTACACTTTAATTTTTTTTATAACTTTTTCAAATCAACTTGGATTTTCATCAAACTATACAGCTACCTAAGTAATATATTGATCTTACTGAATCACAGGTCGTTATGTAGTTTGGTGTATTGCTGTCAAATTTCAGAATTAAATTAATCTTGGTAAAAAAAGCAAGAATTTGCAGTTCGGACAAAATTTAGATAGTACACTTTAAATTTTTTAATAACTTTTTCAAATCAACTTGGATATTCATCCAACTATACAGCTACCTTGGTAATATAGTGATCTTACAGAATCACAGGTCATTATGTAGTTTAGTGTACTGCTGTCAAATTTCAGAATTAAATTAATCTTGGTAAAAAAAGCTAGAATTTGCAGTTCGGACAAAATTTAGATAGTACACTTTACATTTTTTAATAACTTTTTCAAATCAACTTGGATATTCATCAAACTATACAGCTACCTTGGTAATATATTGATCATACTGAATCACAGGTCATTATGTAGTTTGGTGTATTGCTGTCAAATTTAAGGATTAAATTAATCTTGGTCAAAAAAGCTAGAATTTGCAGTTCGGACTATATTCAGATAGTACACTTTAATTCTGTTTATAACTTTTTCAAATCAACTTGGATTTTCATCAAACCATACAGCTACATTGGTAATATATTGATCTTACTGAATCACAGGTCGTTATGTAGTTTGGTGTATTGCTGTCAAATTTCAGAATTAAATTAATCTTGGTAAAAAAAGCTATTATTTGCAGTTCGGACAAAATTTAGATAGTCCACTTTAAATTTTTTAATAACTTTTTCAAATC